CTCTGATGGATCTGCCATATTTTCCATAACATATCTGTATTTTTTGAGTTTGAAGTTCCAAAACCTGTATAGACAAACCTTACTCCTAAAGTCTGCCACTGGTCTAGAAAATAGACTCTAACATCAGCCAATTCGTTCTTAACACTCCACCACACTTGTTGCTCCTTGTTTTGCTACTCAGTCCACATTAAACTTGACAAAACCACTGCTGGAGGACACCAAACCATAGCATCCTTATTACTGATGCTGAGCGAGAGACATTTCAACGGGTAGTAGCACCAATCCTCCTCAAAGAGGATCTCACAATCATTGACTGCTTTTAGCCAAATGATGACATTGTGTAGTGTTTTATGCATATGAGATTTAATATTTATTTCTAATTATTCATAAAGTCTCTATAATGTATTATATTTATTGAATTTCATGTGTTACTAACTTGTTTTCTCTTATCTATGTTGAAATTCATTATTCTTCTTTAGTGTCAAAGTTTTTGTCCTAAAGCATTTATGAAATGTCTTTTTAAGACGGAGTTTTCCCAAATGCTTTTAATTTTATCTCACTCTCAATTACTATTTTGTGCTAAATGAACTTCAAATTATTTTTTATATAACAAAAGGTGTAGAAGTAAGTTGAAAAATTCAATTTAAAAAACAAAGCTCATAAAACAAGAGTTTGAACACAAAAATACTTTTTAGGGTAAATAGTACTAATACTTCTTGAAGTATCAATACTGCATGAACAATATCGATATTGTTCTTGTGGTACCGATATTACATATAAAAGAAGTATCAATACTCTCTTTGTAGTACCAATACTACCCTTTGATCTTAAACTTGTTCAAATTCCAAAATGCCAAAACGGTATTGATACTCTAAGGAGTATTGATACTACTTATAACAGTAGTATCAATACTATCCTCCATAGTACCCATCTTACACTATCCCAATGACTATATCTTTGGTTTTAACACAGGTAGTACGGATAGTCTAAAACAGTGGCGAATCCAAAAATATTTTTTAGGGTGAGAACACATATGTTAATAACACAAAATATTTTAATAGGGTGGGCACCATTAATAAAATAGGTAACTAACCGAAGAAAATTTAGATTTCAAGGTGCGTACTTGAATACATGTGGATCCGCCATTGCTCCAAAAGGAAATATCGATGCTACTATGGTCTAGGCATAATCCAATGCTGAAATTAACTACCATAACGACTATAATTCAAACCTAAGGGCTCCAAACAACTAGAAACTCATTCCAACATATAAAATCAATTCAAGAACACTTGAAGAATGTTACTACACCTATCCAAGCTAAAAGATCAAGAGAAAAGAGTTTTAATTCTTTATTTCTTCATATTCTATTCTATGCAGAGTGTTGAGCTTTATTAAAAATATTTGTATTTTTCTTGTGCTCATAAATCTTTCTTAACACCTACCTAAAGAGGTGTTCTTATTTACACATAGTAAACATTGTAAAAAGGGAGATGTTCTAGTTTAGCCTATGGAAAAACTAGAGAGCTGTAAAGGTTACACCTTATCCTTAAAAGGTAAGGATATATTAATGTATTTGTTAGAATTCCATAGTGTGGATGCTAAGGTAATTGATGCTAAGGTCTTCTTTATTTCCCTGACGATTATTCCAGAGAGCTTCATGTTTTTTGGATACTTGGGGCTTCAACTTATCACACCTACTGTTTTAGGCATGTGGATAAGATGTAGCATACAACATACCCCCAAGTCTATTGAGTAGAATCATCATGTGAAGACTTTCATTCGCTCATTCATATTTAGCTATCTTTCTTACTTTAATGATTCCCTTAAACGTATCGAAATATCATGACAACGAAGTGTCCCATAATTTATTTTGCCTATGGCAATTTATTACACAAATATTTAAACACAGGTTTTTAAGGGAAAAACGAGAGTTTCTAAGCTATTATTTTATTGGTTTCTTAAAGATTAAAGAGACACAATTGTGTTTATTAAGGCAAAATAGTTCTTCTCAAAGTTAATTCTAAACTGATCTTTAAATCTATAGAGTTCCAAAATAAGCGCCATGGCAATTGTCATCATGGGTTATCACAAAAAATTCTCAGAAATTTTAACCTATACATGCCATGGGAAGTACATATGCAAAATTACGATAATCTAATACCAAGTAAGGGTAACTCCCCCAAACTTGTTGAAGGCATCATCGCCATGGGAAGTACATATGCAAAATTACGATAATCTAATACCAAGTAAGGGTAACTCCCCCAAACTTGTTGAAGGCATCATCCCCAATGCAAACACTATCTTATATGCAATGCATATGAAAAAGAAATGAAAATGCAAACATTTAAATGTGAGGTGTGCATCATTAGTTATAAGTTCCTTCGGCATCTACTTTATGCTGGATAGTTTTTGGGAGTGTGTTTCACCCTTTTTCCTCTTCTCAATGACGATTGAGGTGCTGCTGCTGTGGGGTTGCTTTCATCAACTTGCTTCGTAGCCTCCTTTTTATTGGTGGGAGGCTGCTCATGCACTAGTTCCTTAGTTGTGAGGCTTTTCTCTTTGATGGTTGATCGTGCTTTGGAGTTGGAGGTGGCAGTACTGGTGGTACTGACGTGTATTCTTCAGATCTGTCAAGAGATGAAATGATTCAGTTTTCTATGGTTCGTACATTTTTTCTTTAACTTTTTTCGATGCAGAAGTTTTCATGGAAACTTCACTAAAATCCACTTCCACCGTATCCCTTCCATTTTTAGCATCAATTGCTGTGGCAACTAAGAAGAAATGTAGGGAAAGGAAAATCATGTTGAGGTTGATTTCAAGTAGGGCATTCTCGAGCACTATGTCTTGGTCTTGTATTGTACTTCCACAAGCATTATTGTTCGACCTCAAACTTTTCCATCTTTTGCAACAATTTGTTCAAGAGCTTTGCAGGCATCGTCGTGGTTGCCAAAGCATGCTTAGTGGAATTGGTGGCTTGGTTTCTTGGGCTTCTATTGTTACGTTGGCCATCGGTGACATTCTTTCCCCTCATAATCTTCATGTATGTAGACCATATCCGATGAGTGTATAATATTGCATATATTTATTGTTATTTACTCCTTATTTTCCTATTGGATATTAGTGATTTATCTTTATTTTGGGTTTATTTTGGATATGAGCTTTATTGGATTAATTATCCCAAAAAGTAGCAGATTTCAATGGTCTGGTCTGCATCTTCTAGAAGACGAACAAAATTATCTTGAATATTTAATTGGAATTTACCGGCATATGGTTATCCATAAGATAAAGTAGAATTCAACTAGAACTACAAGACCAAAATATTTATTTTTATCTTTTGTGATAAACCTTTTAGATTTAGGTTTTTAGTTTGATTATTTTATTATTATTATTTATTTAGAAATTAATTATTTTACTATAACTCTAGGAAGAATTTTTAGTTTGATTATCATTATTATTTTTATTTAGGAATTAGTTATTTTATTTACTTAGAACTCTCAGATTATAAATACCCCTTAGGTTCAACATTTGAACTCAGATTAGAATTTATATTTCCTTGGCTATTTATTGAAGTTATACTTTTCTTTCATCTCTTTATTTTCTTTTTACAATGTTAAACATGATCCAATCCATGCTTAGCTAAATTCCACTTAGCCTAAAGCTTTGCGAAGCTCAATTTGAAATCATGAGAATTGAGTCTTGTTCTTCATAACTTCATATAGCATTCTTTGGTTCTCAAAAAACTAGGAGTGACAATCGACTATTTTTTTAAAGTTACTATGTCTTCAATCCAAAAAATTGTCGTTGGCTTGAAGCTTGTTTTGGCTTACAGTTGGGAAAATGGATCGGTTGGTCTTAATTCGGCTTATATGAACAAACTTAGTGGAGGCCTGCTAAGGGGAATCAAAATCGGGTTTAATTCTCAAAGAGACGCTATAACCCGAGTTGGGCTCTTCCAGCACTCAAAACTTTCTTGGTGCTAATGACGATAGACATGGTTAGTCCACCAAGGACCATATTTCGGAGATAAACTTGGACATTTTGGTTAACCTGAGAGAAGAATTAGTTACAGAGGTTGGGTTTAGTTAACTTTAACCGGCGTACATCAAGGAGAGAAAATCTATTTCGATGATCGATCGAATTTAAGGCTAAGCAAAGCCTAAAGGCTATATCATCTTAATTGAATTATTATACTTTTTATTTATTTTTTTTTCATCATTTATTTTTATTATTTTCATTATTTCTAAATCTCGCATATTTATTTTTCCAGTTTAAACTAAAGGATCAAAACAAGTAAATTTATCAAACTTCCTTTGTCCCTATGGCTTGACCTCTATTTCTTTATACTACTTTAATTATTTTTTTGAGATTAGAGCATTTATTTATTTGACAATTTCTATGCTTTTCAAATTGGTGACGCTACAGGGACTTTGGTAAAATTGTTAATATTGTTTCTTGTTCTGATCTATAACCAGATTATGTCCGATAGAATTAATAAATTACAAACGTGAAATCATAACACTTTCCCATAGATTACGTGGGGAAAAACTTCGGCGAATAGGACAACAAAAACAATAACTTGAACCTGAATTTGGAAAAATTTCTCATACCGAAGCTTTTTCACATGCGAAGGAGAAGAATTAATTCACATGGTTGATCTAACAAACCGAGAGCTTGTTGTGGCACCTGATGAACAACATTCGCTTTGCATCACATTCCCGTATGGCAAAACACCGTTCAAATTAAAGACATATTTAATTTTTCTTCTACTGACCTTTCATGGTTTGTAAAATGAAAACCCATATAAACATCTGAAAGAGTTTCATATGTTACGTCTGAGTATGAAACCACATGGAGTTTTTGAAGATCAAATTAAACTTCATTTTTTCTTAGCCGATTCAGCAAATGATTGGTTATTTTATTTACCTCCTAGTTCTAGTAATACATGGGATAATATGTCTCATTTATTCATTGACGTGTTTTTCCCTGCAGCTAGAGCAAGCAAACTAAGGAGAAGCATTGTAGGTATTCAACAAAAAGATAGTGAATCATTATATGATTATTGGGAGCGCTTTAAAATGTTATGTGCCAGATGTCTACAACATGGCTTGTCAGAATAAACCATTATTCAATACTTCTATGAAGGATTACTTCCCATGGAGATGAAAATGATCGATGAGGTAAGCAGAGGAACCCTTGTTACCATGACTTCTCAAAAGGCTAGAGATTTGATTTCCATAATGGCCGCCAATACTCAACAACTTTGTCCCTCTAATGAACCCACTCAACAAGTTCACGAGATAAGTACTCATTCCATTGAAGATAAGATTGATAAGCTTACTAATGTTGTTCACACTTTACATGCAGAAAAAACAAGTTCAACTCATTTATGTGGAATTTACATTATGCCAAATCATCTGACAGATTTTTGTCTGATGCTTTAAAAAGACAATACAAAACATGTAGAAGTTGTTGGGAACTCTTTAGGACTCCTCAAAGGTGTAATAACCCTACTCAAATACTTATAATATCGGTTGGAGGGACTATATGAACCTTAGCTATGGTTTAAATCCCAGATACAATCAACCTTATCAACCGCATAAATCATCTTTGGAGTTAATAGTAGAGAGGCTTGTGCTTAGATAGGAAAATTTTTAGAATAAGACCGAGGCTCACCTTCAAGAGGTCAAAAAATAAATGAGCTAGGTGAGTCAAAAGTTGGACATTTGGAATCCCAGGGAAATATTATCTGTCACAAACGAAACCAAACCACAAATAAAATGCATACACCATGACCCTACAAAGAAGAGTTGTCATTGAATATGGATCTCAAGAAGAAGTTGGCAAAATCCAAGAAGGAAAAAGGTCAACACAATTGATGGCTAAACCACTTGTTCCATCAAATTATGTCGTAACTCCACTATTCCCAGGAAGACTTGTCAAACACGACGAGGATACTGAAGAAAAAGAGATTCTTGAAGTTTTTCAAAAAGTCAAAATCAACCTTCCACTCAAGATATGCAAGATTTCTAAAATATCTGTACAGTAATAAGAGAAAACATAATGGGAACAAAAGGGTAAATTTGGGTGAGAATGTTTTTGCTATTATTCAACGAAAAATTCAACCAAAATACAAGAACGAAGGTCTATTTGCAATTCCTTGTAAAATTGGTAAGGTTGATATTAAAAAAGCTATGTGTGATTCGAGAGCTTCAATTAATGTTATGCCTTTTTCCATTTATAACTTACTGATTAGTGAACTTTTGAAAGAGACATGTGCAACGATCCAGCTACTGATAGATCAGTGGTATATCCAAAAGGAGTCCTCGAAAATGTCTTTGTAAAGGTAAATGAGTTAGTATTTCCCAGTTGAATTCTACATCATTGATATGGAGGATGATCGATCGAATACTTCTTCTAAAATTTTGTTCGAAAGATCATTCCAGAGTACGACTCAAACAAAGATCAATGTTAGAAGCATAATACTCACTATGGAGTTTAACAATGAAGTAGTGAAGTTTGATGTTTATAAGGCCATGAAATATTCTGACTCTATGGAAAATGTTAGTTTTATCGATATTATTGAACCATTTGTTGATGAATATATTGAACATAATTTTTTAATAATTTAGGCGGGGATTCAGAAGATGAAGTAGACAAGTCAAGTGAGTTAGAAAAAATTTCTAATGTTGATTTAAATTTGCACCTAAGTCTTTTAAAAGCTAAGATTTTACCTTTAATGTTTCTGGCACTAGAGTTGGAGTTGAAGCAACTACCAGATCACTTAAAGTATGCATTTTTGTGAGAAGGAAATAGTTTGTGGTTATCATCTCAAACAATCTTTCCAAGGCATAAGAGTTATATTTGGTAAAGGTCCTAAATGAGTATAAATAAGTGATAGGATGGACAATCACTGATACCAAAGGACTTAGTACTTCGACTTGTATGTATAAGATTAAAGTTGAAGACAATGCCAAGCCTTCCCGAGAAAGCCAGAGGAGCCTAAATCCTCCCATGGTGGAGGTGGTTACAAATGAGATTCAGAAGCTTCTCGATGCCGACATGATATACCCAATATCAAATAATAATTGGGTAAGTCCAATCCATGTGGTCCTTAAGAAAACCATAACCACAATAGTTAAGAACAAGAAAGGTGAACTAGTACCCACTCATGTTCAGAATGGGTAGAGAGTTTGTATCGATTACAAGAAGTTAAACTCATTATCTTGAAAAGATTATTTTTCGTTTCAATTTATTGCTCAAATGATGGAACGTTTAGCTAGAAAGTCTCACTATTGTTGTATTGATGGTTTTTCAAGTTTCTTCCAAATCCCTGTGGCACTAGAAGATCAAGAAAAGACCACATTTACTTGTCCATTTGGCACTTTCGCTTATCGTCGAATACATTTTGGTCTTTTTAATACACTTGACACTTTCCAGAGGTGCATGATAAGTATATTTTCTGACTACATCAAAAAAGGGATCAAAAAGTTTATGGATGATTTCATGGTTGATAGAGGTTTAATTTTGGAACATATCATTTCATCTGATGGGATTACGATTTATAAAGCTAAAACTGACATTATTTGTTCACTTCTATACCCACGATTGTGAGGAAGATTCATTTTTTTCTTGGTCATGCAGGTTTCTACTGGAGGTTCATCAAAGATTTTTTCAAGGTGACTCAAGCACTTTGCAATTTGCCACAAAAGGAAAAAGCCTTCGACTTTGACCCAGAATGCAAAGAAGCCTTCGATATCCTTAAAGACTCGACACCTATAGTTCGGCCACCCCACTAGGACTACCCCTTCAAGATCCTGTGTAATGTGAGCGATAGGAGCATATGATATGTACTTAGAAAAAATATCGAAAAAGAGTAACACGTCATCTCTTATGCGTCGAAAAATTTGGATGCGGCTCAGCAAAACTATTCAACAACAGAAAAATAACTCTTGGTTATTGTTTTTTCTTTAAAAAAGTTTCACTCATATCTTATGGGAACTAAAATCTTTGTTTTTTTGATCATGCAACTTTGAAGTATTTTTTTAGTAAGAAGGAGGTGAAACCTCACTTAAATCGATTGATTTTTCTTCAGAAGTTTAATATGGAAATCAAAGATAAGAAAAAATGCGAGAATTTAGTTGCCAATCACCTTAATCAATTACCTATTATAGTAGGTGCTGCGCCAATAAGGGAGGAGTTCCCTGAAGAGACATTATTTTCGATGCAAAGCGTACGCCCATGGTATGTGGAAATGGTAAATTACTTACCCATAGGAGTATTACCTTCACATTTATCACGTTCCATGTAAGTTGAATTAAATGTGAATCCTGATTATACATTTGGGACAATCCATATCTATGGAAACATTGTTCCAATCAGGTAATTCGAAGATGTGTTGTAGAAAGTGAGTAAATTCTATACTTTAACTTTTGTCATTATTATTCTTGTGGAGGTCGTTTGGGTCCAAAGCTAGCTACTATAAAATCTTGGAATATGATTTTTGTGAGGTAAATTCTATACTTTAACTTTTGTCATTATTATTCTTGTGGAGGTCGTTTGGGTCCAAAGCTAGCTACTATAAAATCTTGGAATATGATTTTTCTTGCCTAACATATTTCATGGCACTTATGTTTTCTGTAATCCTATGAAAAGTGTCAACACTTCTATAATTTAAGCTGAAGAAATGAAATGCCTCTTAATCCAATTCATATTTGTGAAATTTTTTATGTTTTGGGAATTGATTATATGAGACCTCTCCTTTCATCTTTTGGGAATTGTTATATAGTGCTTACTGTGATGTGTCTGATTGTGAAATTTTTTATGTTTTGGGAATTGATTATATGAGACCTCTCCTTTCATCTTTTGGGAATTGTTATATAGTGCTTACTGATGATTATGTGTCTGAATGGGTAGAAGCTAAAGCTACTAGTAACAATGATGCCAAAACCATTGTTGATTTTCTATTTTTTTTCCAGGTTTGGCACACCGAGGGCAATAATTAGTGATCGTGGGATGTTAACTGAATTGTTGAAGTACTCACAAAGAAATATGGAGTTACACAGAGAATCAACACATCTTACCATCCTCAGAAAAGTGGTTAGGTCACTTTGTAACTCGTACATTGGTCTCGATCCTCTCGTATCGTATTCACTCTAGTTTATTTTTTCCTCTTCTTTACCCTTCGATTTTGAGACAACATTGCCAAATCTTTATATAGTTGCAAAGGTACCCTCTTGATCAAGCTTGAGTGTTGTCGATTACTTTCTTTCCTGTTAACGGAATACTTACTGATAGAGTATTCGTAAGAGCTGCCAAGGCACTGACTGAAATGATGATATGATTATCCTCTTTTGGGAAGGATTACGCCTTAGATTGAATAATTCTAAAAAAGAAGAAGGGGGCGTTCTTCCTATCTTGAGGTAGGTATGATTACATGATTGAGGATTAAAGTAGGATATGCCCCTATATGATGTAGAGGGTATATGATTAGAAGACTGGCAGGAATACTTAATTAATGCTTACAACGATAGAAGGACTAAAAAGAACTTATCATCATTAGACAAAATGAGAGGGGTATGGGCCTACAGAAGGAAAAAGATTCACGCCCTCTACTTAATAAATGAATGAATCAAGACAATATTAGACTGGGAGGAAGACTGTAACTACTCTTGGACCACTTTGGCTTAGGGTTAAAGTGAGGGTAGTTATGATTCTAATTGGTAGTTAAGCTTACAAAGGATCAAGAAAAAAATTGAGAAATTAAGTTGATTCTCGATAAAATTGTGAAGCCTAACTAAAAAGATTGGAGCCTGAAACTCATCGATGTTTGTGTGCATGATTCCCTTCATCGTGAAGTTGAAACCGCGGGTGGCCCCTTCGTCGTGAAGTTGAGCCTGGTAATTGGATATCCTTTATCATGAAATTGAAATCCAATGTAAGTTGTACTGCTCCGAGTCCAATATTATCCGCTGTGAAGTTGAAATTGGTTCTGGAACTGGGAAATGGTTTGTTGACAGTCAGCCGCCCCTTCACTGTGAAGTTGAGCTTGTGTTGTCTCGAGTCTAATATCCTTCGTTGTGAAGTTAAAATTGACTCTGAATGAAACTG